TCCTTATTTAAGTAATGACAGCTCACATCACACAACTCATCACAAGTCGCCCAGAGCTGTAAATAACTGTTAAGAACTGAGTAACACTGCCTATTCCTCATATTTGTGAGCGGCCATAGAAACAAAAATCCCTCAAAGGATATTGCCCATTATCTTCATGAACACAGTAACAACACCCCCACGGAGGAGCATTACTTTTTGACTAATGCCCCAGCAAGGCCTTTTAAAGTTTGTTTGAGGTGTCTTCCTTTGCTATAGTGACTTATCCTTTCAGGTCAAACTTTTCTTGTTGTCGTCTCCCATAGCGATGGCTAAAACTGATATTGTCTTATCTTTTGTATCGACCAGAGGCACCTGCCCAGACAAGATCAATAACTTCTGAAATTCCATTGCTCTGGCCTTGGACAAAATGTTAAAGTGCCCCTGCATGTTGTTACTGCATGTCCGGTCTCCGGTGAGACACTTATCATCAACATGTCTCTGATAGGGCCAGGAACAAGCCTTAATGGCTGACCTATTAGAACATGGCTTCCGGTACAACATCTTCCAACACATTCATCACAGAGGCTGTGGCTGAGCCTTCGTGCTTGTAAAGGATTTATTGGCAGAAATGGAATATGATATAAGTATGTTTTCTCACCAGGATGCACCACCATATTTCTGTCGTTAAAAGCCCCTCTGTGACAAGCAGCATTGGAAAAACACTGTAAAATGTAAAACTCCTTAATTCAGTGTTTTAACTGGTTTAAATCACCTGGTCCAATAGACTTGTAGAGGAAGAGACCTTTGCAGATAATTCAGCCATCAGTAAAAGCCTCCTGAATGTCTGCATCTCAAGTTGTCAGAGAAAAAGGAAGCGCACAGATTAGCAAGTGCTAGGTTAGCAGCCCATCTTTAACCAGACAGCGTTGGGGAAACACTAATTTTAAACATGAAACTACATAATTCAGTGTTTCAGCTGGTTTAAATCACCAGTTCTGTTTGTGTTGAAGAGAAAACCTCTGTGGACAGTACAGTATATCCCTGAATGTATGGATCAGAAATAAGGTGAGCATACATTAAGTCATGCCCTACCACTGGACACGTCCCAATAGTAGGAGGCTTCGGGGCAGACCCAGGGGAGGGATTACATATCTCATCTGGCCTGGGAACGCCTGGGGGTCCCCCAGGAGGAGCTGGAAAGCGTTGCTGGGGAGAGGGATGTCTGGGGTGCTTTGCTTGGCCTGCTGCCCCCGGGATGCGGCCCCTGATAAGTGGATGAAAATGAATGGATGGATGGATATATTAAGTTATCAGAGAAAATAGCTGAGCACACATTTGCAGGTGCTGGACATGCAGGCCGTTGAACAAGGTGAAGAAACACTGATTTGTAAAATTAAACTGCTTTGTTTAGTGTTCATACTGGTTTGAATCACCTGGGGCCTCATTTATCAACCGTGCGTACGCACAGATGTGTGCGTAATGAGTGCGTAAGAACATTCCCACGCAAAGTATGGAATTTATCAACTTGTACTTGTGCTTAGGAACGTGTGTAAATTTAAGCACAGCTCTGACCATGCTTACACACAAAATCTAGTGGTAGAACAGTGAAACTACAAATAGAACCCATTGAAGGGGTCACGGTGTTCAGCAATCTCAAACTCCACACATGTTCCCTGTTTCCTCTAATTTATACAAATTCTCAATTAGTAAGTTAGCAGACATTTTGAGTGATTGGTGTGACAAGCTATAAAAGACAGCTGTGACAGGACAACCTGAAAAGAAAACTTGAAATACAAGTACCATGGCTTATCTTGCACTATTGGAGGATTTGGAGAACCGTA